GGGGGTGGAGGCTGCAGGGAGGTGGAGGCTGCAGGGGCTGGGGTCGCGCCATTGCACCCTAGTCTCGGCGGCAGAGTGAAACCCCGCAAAAACAAAAAAGCGGGGAAGAAAAGAGAGAAAGACGGAAAGAAAGAGAAGGAAAGAAAAAGCTAGAGAAAGGTGGGAGGGAGGGAGGGCGGGAGGGCGGGAGGGAGGGCGAATAGTTTGGGGCCGAGCCCCCCATGCAGTCCTCACTCGTGGAATCGGCTCCCTGACTGTCTCGGGACAAGGGCGTTCACCTGGGCTACGTGGCTTCAGGAAAGGGAGCCCAGCAGCCCCCAAGAAACGCCCTTGGCGCCGCCGCCGCCGTGACCAGCGCAGGCAGGACCTGGGGAGCCGTCCACTGCTCGGTGGTGTCCTGGTGCCTTCTGGTGGCCGCCAGGAGCACAGCAGGCCGGGTCCCCCACCCCCAGGCCCGGGTGTTGGGCGCTGGTCTCCGCCTCCACCGTGGGGCTGGGTTATTCTTCCTCCCGGACTGAGGGGTGCTGCTGCCTGAAGTGCGGGGGGACCCTGCCTATTCCTCATCCGACCGCCGCCGTCCCCCTGCGGCTCCCACCAGGAAGGTTCATGACGGGGCTGGGAGTGAAGCCCCAGAGACAGCGTGTCCTGAAAAGGCCTCGTGTAGGGCCCCTCCCTCCTCCACCTCCCGCCACAGCCCTTGGCTGCAGCCTGGCCCTTGGCCTCCCTGCCTCTCCTGCCCCAAGCCCCAAAGCCTTCTCATCTGGTGACCGTCACATGGGGCCCGGATGCCACCTGCATGGCAACCCAGGATGTGGTGCGGGGTCAGCTGGGCGTCCACATGAAGACAGGGGAGTCCCATGCCCCTAGGTCCGTACACAAACGTCCATGCCAAGTGTGTGCAGATCCGGCGTGAAAGGTGACACAATGAAGTGTTTTTTTTTTTTTTTTTTTTTGAGATAGAGTCTTTCTCTGTCGCCCAGGCTGGAGTACAACAGCATGATCTCTGCCCACCACAACCTCTGACAATTCTCCTGCCTCAGACTCTAGAGTATCTGGGATTATAGGCACACGCCATGATGCCCAGCTAATTTTTTTGTGTTTTTAGTAGAGACGGGGTTTCACCATGTTGGTTAAGCTGGTCTTAAACTCCTAACCTCATAATCTGCCCGCCTCAGCCTCCCAAAATGCTGGGATTACAGGCCTAAGCCACCATGCCCAGCCACAATGAAGTTTTTTTGAATGTGAAGGAGTATCAGGCCGGGTGGTGGCTCATACCTGCAGTCCCAGCATTTTGGGAGGCCAAGGCGGGGTGGGTTACCTGAGGTCAGGAGTTTGAGACCAGCCTGGGACACATGGGGAAACCCGTCTCTACTAAAAACACAAAATTGGCTGGGCATGGTGACGCACACCTGTGACCTCAGCTATTCGGGAGGCTGAGGCAGGAGAATCGCTTGAACCCAGGAGGTGGAGGTTGCAGTGAGCAGATTTCACCATTGAAATCTCCAGCCTGGGTAGCGAGAGCGAAATTCCATCTCAAACAAACACAGGCGCTGTTAGGAGGGTGGAAAGTGGAGGCAGAGAGGAGTTCAACAGCGTACGAGCTCAATGAAGGGGCTTGTCCAGAACGCCAACTCCGGGAACCGTGGGGCAGCAACTTCTGAGGTTGACCCCACGCGTCCTAGAAACGTGAGCGGGTCGTCGAAAGGAATGTCCCAGGATAGTCATGGCTGCGCTACGTGTCAGAGCTGCAAACTGGACGTGACCCACGTCGTCACCCGTGGGAAGCTCGGGCAGCCACGTGGCACATTCTCGTGGGACAGCCTCCCCCCAGTCACCCCAGCCCTCGTGGCAGCTGTCTCTGGAGCACAGCCTCGGCCGAGGACACCACTGCAGAAAGGTTGCGGGGTGTCCGTCCATCTGTGAAGGCTCACGACTGGCTGGCCCCGGGGGCGGACGCCTCGTCCTGTGGGCTCGTGCAGGCTACTTCCTGGGAGAGCATCGTGTGGGACCAGGCATGCACTTCGCACACCTGGCCCTCACCACCACCCCTCACAGCACAGGCCCCAGCACCCTGGACTCTCCGGAGCTTCTGGGTTCAAGGCCCCCTCCTCAGAGAGGCCTCCGGCCCCTCTGGCCATCCCCTCCCTCCTTTCTCAGGGCATGTTGCTGTCGGAGCTGACGATTGGATGTTTATTGTGGCTCGCTCGCCCTGTCCTCCTGTCCCCGGCTCAGAACCTTCCTGGGGGTGGGCACTGTGAACCCCAAGGTCAGGACAGCCTGGAGGGTGCAGCTGAGCAGAGCCCGGGGTGAAGGCACTGGCCCTGACGCGCCCTGGCTGTGTGGCCGTGCAGTCACTCGCCCTCATGTGAGCCCTGAAGTCCGGACACAGGCCATCTCAGAAGCGGGCCAGGAACATTCCAGCACGGCAGGGAGGGCAGGTCTGAGGTTTCACTGCGGCGGCGGAAGCACAGCGTGGCCTTCAGCTTGGGACGGGCCCTGCAGTGCTGCTTGCTGGTCAGCGCCCTGCGGCCCGTGTCCGACCCCACTGCAGCCAGCCCCATGCCAGGAAGCTGTCCTCACAGCCATAGCTGAAGGGCCCTCAAATGCCATCTATTTGTGGCCTGGACCCTGAGGGCTGGCACGCATCACATGTAACCACAGGAACACGGTATTTTTGGCACAGAGGGTGGAGCCTGTTCAGTCAGCCTAGTGCCATGCTGCCAGGGACGGGCTGCTCAGACACCCTGCTCGGCCGCCGGGACCCAGGTAGGACCCGACCCGCTGCTTGCTCCCGACCCAAGGGTCCCAATGGCAACAACCCCCAGAAACTTCTCAAGGGACCAGAGCGGAGGGCAAAGGTCAGTGGGCAGAAAGCAGCTCCCTGGCCTCAAGGCACCTCCATCTCGGGACTGTCCCCACGAGCGCCCTCCCACCCCCTGGGTCCAGAGGGGCTGACCTGAGGCCGATGGGAGCCCCTTCTCGGGGTACACCTGACAGCCAGCTGGGGTCTCCCTGCTTCTCTGAGATGGGGCAGAGGAAGGCACCCCGGGTAGCTGGGCAGGCCTGGGTCGTGGTGAAGACCTTGAGGACAGCCGAGGTGGCCGCTGGCAGCTAAGAAACCATCTCACCCTGCACCTGCTGCCCAGGCTGTCCCTGCTGACCTGGGCCAGCTCGGGCCAGCACCACTTGGTGAGCTCAGAGGAAGCCCGTCCCAGCCAAGGCGATGGGAAGGTCATCCCCAAGGGCTGGGCACCTGCTGGGCCCTGTAAACCAGCTGTGGCACTTTGGTCAGGCCAGGGCTGCCCCCCCAACCCGAGGTCACTGGTGCCATTCGGTGGACCTTGAAAGTGGCTTTGCTGTATAAAGACAGTGCTGGCAGAGGGTGGAGGAGGAGAGGTTACCAGCAACGCTGGGGTGGGAAGCAGCAGTCAGACCTGAGGACTGCCAGTTTTCTAGGGTGCTTCACCGGTAGGTCGTCTCCGATTTTAGAAATGTAGCAACATGTCTTTCAAAGCTTGTCTGAGTGCGCTGGGAAATAGGGCCACGGGAGCGCAGACTTTCTAGCTTGGAGGAAGTCGTCGCCGCCATGGTCGAAGGAGGCACCGCCCCTCTATATGCTGTTCTCTTCCTTCCAGGGCACGGATAGAGCCCCGAGGCAGTGGGTGCCCCCAGGTCTCGTGGGGCAGCGGCGGCAGGTGCAGGGTGGTGCCTGGGGCCTGAACCCATGAGGACCCCACCAGCCTCGGTGCCTCTGCTGACCCTAGATGGAAAATTTCCAATACAGCCTCCAGCTGAGTGACCAGGACTGGGCCGAGTTCTCAGCCACCACCGACGAGTGTGGCCTCCTGCAGGCCGGCCTGGCCTCTGGAGACGAGCTCTTGTCCAGTGACATTGAGCAAGGGGACAGCAGCGGCAGCAGCCCCCCCAGGGCCCCGCCTCTCCTGACAGGGCAGCCAGCGGCGGGGGGGCAGGGCCATGAGGAGGAGGACGTGACCCCGCAGTCCCCGGTCAGCAGGTCTCGGTGTGAGCCTGTCTTGGCCCCGGGGACCAGTCACCAGACACCCAGCACGTCCGCACGGGCAGAAGCTCCACTGTCCCTCGGCCCCGGCACTCCCCCTCCCGGCCTGCGCTCATCCTGCCCCGGTCCAGCGTATTCTTCTGGAGACCAGATGCAGAGACTTCTACAGGGGCCTGCCCCACGGCCCCCGGGGGAGCCCCCTCGGAGTCCCGAGTCCCCTGGCCACTGCGCTGCCTCCCAGAGGCCCCCCAGTAGCCCTGGAGCCTCGCCACGGAGCCCCGGCCGAAAGAAGAGGCGAGCGGTGTGTGCTAAGGGGGGTGGGCAGGCAGGAGCCCCTGCTTCTTCACGGACGGGCTCCCCACTGCTCCCTGCAGCCAGTCCTGAGATGGCAAACCTGACAGCTAGAGCCGGGCAGGAGGAGCCGAGGCCAGGCCCTGCAGGAGCTCCCGAGCCTGGCCCCGGGGCCCCCATGCAGGAAGCCAAACTGGGGACAGGTTTGGGCCTGTCCACACCTCTCCCTGTGACTGAGCAAGGTACAGACCAAATCAGAGCCGCCCCCAGCGCCAGGCTGCACACGGTGTCCAGACCCATCCAGGAGGCCCACCCAGATGTCTCAAGGTCTGAGTCAGACATGGCTGTGTCTACACCCGCCTCCAAGCCTCAGCCTGACATGACTGTGTCTACACCCGCCTCCAAGCGTCAGTGTGACATCGCTGTGTCTACACACGCCTCTGAGCCTCAACCTGACACAGACATGGCTGTGTCTACACCCACCTCCAAGCCTCAACCGGACATGACTGTGTCTACACCCGCCTCCAAGCCTCAACCGGACATGACTGTGTCTACACCCGCCTCCAAGCGTCAGTGTGACATCGCTGTGTCTACACACGCCTCTGAGCCTCAACCTGACACAGACATGGCTGTGTCTACACCCGCCTCCAAGCCTCAACCGGACATGGCTCTGTCCACACTGGCCTCCACACCTCGCCTGGATGTGGCCTTGGCTACAGCAGGCCGAGCGGTGAAGCTAAAGGCGGCTTCATCTCCACCTGTCTCAGGGGCTGTGCCAAGGATGGCTGAGTCCGCCGGGCTTGTGTCTACACCTGGTTTTGGAGCTGATGCCACCGGCCCTGCCTGGTCTCCCACCCGAAGAGCTGGGCCTGACGTGGTGGACACGGAGGTTGTCAGGTCTGAGCCCTCAGCAGGGGCCCGTGGACACCGCTCTGGGGAGCCCGCACTGGGTCTCACCCAAGTCCCCAAGAAGAAGAAAGTGCGATTCTCCATGGCTGTGCCCACGCCCAAGGAGCCAGGCTCAGGGGAGGCCTCAGGCCTGGCCACGCCCGCCACAGCCCGACCCTCAGCCCGCCGGACAGCGACTGGGGGTCATGGGGGGCCCGGAGTCTGGGACACTGTGGCCGTCGGGCCCCAGCCCCACCAGCCTCGGATCCTCAAGCACCTGCCTTGCCCGCCCCCTTCTGCCGTGACAAGGGCCGGGCCCGGGAGCCGCTTTGCCGTGACCCTCCCAGAGGCCTACGAGTTCTTCTTCTGTGACCCCATCGCGGAGGACGAAGATGCTGAGGCGGCAGCGGCCAGCCAGGGCCCCGTGGACGTCCAGTGGCCGGACACATGCGAGTTCTTCTTCCGAGACTACGGAGCCCAGACGTCGAGGCAGCTGGGGGCCCCAGCGCCACCCCCGAGAGCGGGTCCTGTGCCGGCCCCCCCACCTGGAGACCCCATGCCCATCTCCATCCCTGAGGCCTACGAACACTTCTTTGGAGAGGACGGGCTTGGGGGTATCCCAGGAGCGGGGGCTGCCCCACACTGGCTGCAGACCCTGGAGCCTTCCAGCTCGGCCTCCCAGGGGGCGGGGCCCGGGACCCCCTCCAAGCCAGCCGCAGTGGAGCGGCTCCACCTGGCTCTCAGGTGGGCAGGTAGGTGCCCTCGGATGCCACAGCCCATCCAGGTCCCAGACACACTGTCCAGGGAGCTCAGCCACGGGGCCGCTGGGGGGTGGGCAGGCAGGGCCTGGGTCAGCCCAGGACACAGTCCAGATGGGGCAGCCATGGCCAGGCACCCGGGCCGTTCAGGGGTTTGGCTCCGCGCTGGCTGTTGGCCTGTTCAGCCCATGTGATGGCAGCGCGTGCCCCCGGCCTCTGGCAGAGCTCCGGCCCAGGCCTGGCTGCCTTCAGGGTGAGGCGTTCGCCAGGTAGCATCACGTCTCATCTCCTCTGGGAGGTGCTTTACACACCAGAAAATGGGGACCCACAGGCAGTTCCCCCAAACCGGCCCAGCTCAACCATGTGACAAAGTCTGAGGCAGAGGAAGCGGGGGAGCTGTGACTCAGACAGACACGTCGGGGCAGGTGGTTCTTGGGAAGACGTGTCCAGGCAGCCGTATCCCGGACAAATGGATCTCGGAACAGATGTGTCCAGGATGGATGTGTCTGGGGCAGGCGTGTGCAGGGCAGATGGCTCTTGGGGCGGGTGGTTCTCGGGGCAGGTGTGTGTGGGGCAGGTGTTTCCTGGGGCAGACAGTTCTCGAGGCAGATGGTTCCCAGGGCAGGCGGTTCCCGGGGCAGATGGTTCCGGGGGCAGTTCTGTTCTCAGGGCAGACGGTTCTCAGGGCAGAGGGTTCTGTTCTCAGGGCAGACGGTTCCCGGGGCAGACGGTTCCCCGGGCAGACGGTTCTCAGGGCAGATGATTCCCGGGGCAGACAGTTCTGTTCTCAGGGCAGACGGTTCTGTTCTCAGGGCAGACGGTTCCCCGGGCAGATGGTTCTCAGGGCAGGTGGTTCCCGGGGCAGACAGTTCTGTTCTCAGGGCAGACAGTTCTCAGGGCAGACAGTTCTCAGGGCAGACGGTTCTCGGGGCAGACGGTTCTGTTCTCAGGGCAGACAGTTCTTAGGGCAGGTGGTTCCCAGGGCAGGCGGTTTCCGGGCAGACGGTTCTCAGGGCAGAGGGTTCTGTTCTCAGGGCAGGCGGTTTCCGGGCAGACGGTTCTCAGGGCAGAGGGTTCTGTTCTCAGGGCAGACAGTTCTGAGGGCAGGTGGTTCCCGGGGCAGACGGTTCCCGGGGCAGACAGTTCTCAGGGCAGGTGGTTCCCGGGCAGACGGTTCCGGGGGCAGACGGTTCCCGGGGCAGACGGTTCTGTTCTCAGGGCAGACAGTTCTTAGGGCAGGTGGTTCCCAGGGCAGACAGTTCTCAGGGCAGGCGGTTTCCGGGCAGACGGTTCTCAGGGCAGAGGGTTCTGTTCTCAGGGCAGACAGTTCTGAGGGCAGGTGGTTCCCGGGCAGACGGTTCCGGGGGCAGACGGTTCCCGGGGCAGACAGTTCTCAGGGTGGGCGTGTGTGGGGCAGGCGGTTCTTGGGGTGGGCATGTGCGGACCAGTCTCTGAGTGCAGCAGTGGGGCTGAAGGTGAGCTTCTTTCCTAGGGGAGCTCCAGGGGCCTGTCCCATCATTTGTCTTCAGCCAGAATGACATGTGCCTGGTGTTTGTGGCCTTTGCCACCTGGGCTGTGAGGACGTCAGATCTGCACACCCCAGATGCCTGGAAAACAGGTTTGGGTGCCGGGGGGCAGAGGGAACTGTGCCTACAAGTCAGACCCGGGGCACCGGCAGGACAAGGGGTGTGTGGGGGACCCAGGGCTCTCCCCGGCCAAGCCGCTGCCGCTGCCCCGGCCGCCCTGGCCTTGCCCGTCCTTCGAGTGCTGGGCGTTTCCGGCAGACGGTGCTGACGGCCACAGCCGGCCCTCAGGAGACCCTGTGCTCCCCTTGCAGTCTTGCTGGCCAACATCGGCACCGTCTCTGCCATCCGATACTTCCGCCGGCAGGTGGGGCAAGGCCGCCCCAGCCGCAGCCGCAGCCGCAGCCGCAGCCGCAGTCCCAGCTCCTAGGAGCCAGGCCCGGGCCAGGGAGACGCCGGACGAGGAGCCGACCACGTGTGCCGGGGACAGGTGCTGTCCTCGCCCGGGCCCCCGACCCGTCTTCTGCGGGGTCCGGGAGAGAGGGCATGTCCTGGTGCGGCTCCCTTGGACTCACCTGAGGGTCCGGCCAGTGAGCACGGCTGCTCCCCACATTGGGGAGGGAGATGCTGGTCTGGGCGAGTGGAGGCCAAGCAGGTGGCTGGGTCGCAGGGCGGCCAGATTCACAGACGAAAACAGGGCATTCGGTTACATTTGAATTTCGGACATGCAGTACTGCGGAGGCCACTTTACTGAGAAGTGACTTGTTCACCTGGAAACCGCATCTGCGCTTCCGGGAGCAGTGAGGCTGAGTGGCAGGACAGGAGCTCTGGGCGAGGACATGGGGGGTGGCCTCAAAGCGGGGTGGGGGGTCTAAGGACTCTACCCTCCTCACGGTGGGCTTGGTGGCAAGGGCTCTGAGGCCTATCACCCCGATCCCAGAGGGACTGTGGCCAAGGCCCCTTAGGGCTCTGGCCTGACACCTGCAGGGCGGGGGTCTGTAGCAGAGCCCCGAGGGCCCTTGGTGCAGGTGCTGAGGGAGAATTCAGTGGCATCAGATGGAGGAATGGGCTCCGGGCTTGTCCCAGGGGCTCAGAGGAGTCAGAGACGCGGTGGGAAGGTAGATGAGGGGCCTGAGGTGACAGAGGCGGGGTGCTGTGGGCCACAGCCAAGAGGGGTCAGAGACGCAGTGGGAAGGCAAGTGAGGGGCCCAAGGTGGCAGCAGCAGGGGGCTGTCTGGCTGGGTGGCAGGTGGGGGACCCCCGAGGCAGCATGAGAGGGTCCCCAAGACTGTGCGAGATCCCAGCTGCTGAGCAGAGAACACACAGACGCAGCACCAATAAAAATCTTTTTTTTCTTTTTTTTTTCTCTCTCTCTCTTCTTTTCTTTTTTTTTTCTTTCTTGTCCGGTGGCGTCAGCGTCTCCCAAGCTGCACATGCCCAGGCCACAAGGCCCCACCTGCCCTCTTCCTTGGGACACCCCCACCCACACCCTGGCTTGTGCCCTTCACACTTGCTGACCTGTGACCCTCTTGCCCTCTGACCTCACATACTCTGACCCTGCTGACCTTGCTCTGTCCTCTGACCTCCATGCCCATGTCACCCTCCCACTCCAGGGAACGCTCCCATGAGTCTCCTCCTGCACTCCTGGCTGGCAGAATTGAGGGCCGACCCTGTGGATGGCCGGGGCCTCCCTGACCTGTGACCTGGCCTCTCCAGCCAGGGTGTCCTTGGGATGGGGCCCCTTCCTCACCCCAGCTGCTGGTGCTGAGGCGCGGGAGCCCAGGGCCCCGGAGACTCCCCCCCGGCACTGGGTTCAGACCCTGACTTGGACTTTGAAGTGGCTCAGAGGGGTGGGTGCCGTGGAGGCCCGGCAAGGGTGGTCCTGAGAACCTGCCCTGCCGGGGCCGTCAGATCCACTGCACGAGCCCGCCACCGGCCTCAGGCCCTCCCAGCCGGGCACACTGCTGGTGGGAGGACGCCAAGGTATCATCCCAGGGGTGGCCGTGGCCTGGGCCCTCGCTCCTCCTGGAGGGCTGGCCATCTAGGGGAAGGCAGAGACGCGTCAGCCTATGGGAGGCCACAGGCACCCGCCCCAGGAGAACCGCCACCCACCTGTCAGAGGCAGATGCGGTTCAGGTGAACCTTCCCTGGCAGAGGAGACCTGGAAACCCCAAACCACAAGTCTGAGAGAGGCACAGCCCCAGGCAAGCAGCTTGGCCTGTCCACGTGCAGCGCCCGGCCCTGCGTCGCCCACATGCCCCTGCTCTCCCTGCCCGGCCCCGTCTGCCCGCCTCCCTGCTGGCTGCCCTGGTCTCCAGCTGCCCCTGCCCTCCTATTTCCCTCCCTGCTCCCTCAGAGTCCCAAGAGGCCCCACACCAGCCCCCCAGCACCCCCAGAGCCCAGGGCACACCAGCTACTCACGAGCTGAGGGGCGTCTGGGGGCTCCGGCCCCACACCCTTGGCTGAGCCTTGGTGTCTCCGAGAGGCTCTGGACCGCAAGGCTCCCTTCTTGGAGAGCAAGTGGGGGCCAGTGGGGCCAGGGGAGCTGGAGCCAGGGTCAGAGACAGGCACAGATGCGGGCAACCAGGGGAGCGGGCTCAAGGGCACAGGTCCAGGTGAGCTCTGCATGGCACTGAGGAACTGCCGGGAGGGCCTGGGCTGGGACCTCAATGGCACCCAGGGACCCCAGCAATGAGACTCAACCTCCCAGCACAGCCTAAACAGACCTCAGGCTTCGGGCAGCCCCAGACCCCAGGGTGAGATTCATGGGCTAGACCCCCCTAGACCCCGAACCTTGGGGTGCGGGCACCACCCAACCTCAGGCTGTGTGCACATCCTGCCCTTTCTTCGGCTCGGCAAGGGACTGACCTCCTCCAGGCCCTGGACATCTGTGATTCTGCGGTGGGAGGTGGCCGGCGGGGTGTAGGGGTCGGCATAGAGGGGCGAGTGTGGCGTCTCTGTGTGGCCAGGGGCCTCTGGGCTGCCCTCCAGGCTCGGCCTGCTCAGCTGCAGGGGAGAGGAGGTGGGAGAGGTGGGAGCCTAACCCTCCCCTTCTCTGAGGTGAGGAGTGGTGGGAGCCAGGCCAGGGCCGGGTGTGTGTGCCGGGCCCACCTGGGTCAGGTCCAGGTGCAGCGGGGTGGCAGGGCCACGGCTCCCTGCCCGGGCCTTGCTCCTGGGTGACCGGCTGCTGCTGCTACGTCTCAGCTCTGTCCTCCGTTGGCAGATGCTGGCGGGGTCAGAGTTGGCCTGGTCCTGTGGGGACCACAGACCTTCCAGAAAGAGCCTCTGGGGCCCTCTCCCATGCAATTCCCTGAGGCTGCCAGGGGCTTCCTCCAGTCTGAGTCCCCTGAGGAACCAGGGTCCCCAACACATGCTTACCCAAGGGCCTTCTGCCCCACTTCTGTCCGCCACCCCCCGGTACTCACCGGTGTGTGCAGAGAGGCACAGCCCATGGTGGGTGGCACTGAGGACTCAGGCAAGGAGTGGCTGGTATGGGTGGAGGGGGGCGCCAGGCACTCCAAGTCCCAGCTGGTCCGTCCACCTGAGGAGAGTGAGCCTCGGCCGCTGCCCATCGCCTGGGTGGGCAGTGAGTGGGGGTGAGTGAGGACTGGACCCCTCCCCACCTGTCCCCTGCCTGGACCCCTCCCCACCTACTCTCCTGCCTGGACCCACCCCCTCCTCACCTGCCCCCTGCCTGGGCCCCTCCCCACCTACCACCCTGCCTGGACCCACACCCTCCTCACCTGCCCCCTCGCTGGACCCACCCCCTCCCCACCTG